TATACTCCCACCATCCCTGTTACATCAGGTTTCCACTGTAATTATAATAATGTCAATTTGGTCAGATAATTGCAGTCTGAGTCAAACTTTCACGTTAGAACCGACCCGACCCTCGACTTGGAGGACAAGGAGTGACCAAGTGAGTGACTGAATCTTGCGCGATAGATCACGCGAATTTTAAAGGAGCATGCCCAGAAATCCCCACGGGCCAAAACACGGAACATGCGCAGAAATCCCCAAGGGCCAGAAGCCGCAGGCCAGGCTAATCGACCGAATTCGTTCGCCCGGAACACGCGCAGAAATCCTAGATCAGGCGAGTAGCCTGACGCTAGCCAACCGACATCGGGCGAGTAGCCACTCCGTATTATTTAATGTCAAGAGTCTAAAAAAAACCCCAACACAAATAATTAAATAATTCAGGTAGTTAGTTACTACCATGATAGTGATAGAAAAATCAGTTACCATGCAAAGTTGCCCCATTTTACAGGTACAGCAGCTTACTATAGTATACTAGGCAACTGCTAAAAAGACAGTTTAAAAAATGTCTTCATGTGAACAATACGTGACATCCTCAACACATTAAAAAAATATCAAGATAAAAAAAAACAAATGAACTTGGTGGCAACTAAGGCAATTATTGTGCTCCACAATCAAAATCTTTTCCAGTGGTATGATGTCAGAGAAGTATAACATGGGTAGTTCAGATTTGTCGGAACCTGCCTCCGTAGTTCGAGGGATCCGTAGTTTGAGGGATCCGTAGTTTGAGGGATATCTTACAAAGATAAAGACGAAGAAAAAAAAAAAGGACAGCAGGCACAGTTCAACGGATGTGTGAGTCTTCAGGGTTCGACTTATTCGTATTAAACTGATAAAATTAAAAATTACAACTTAATGATAATGCCTTTCAGCTTTAAAAAAATGGGGCACCAAGTTCATGAGCACAAGTTCTTTAGCCATCCTCTCTCGCAGGGCTTGAATTAGGTGGTTAAGGAGGGCAGGCAAAAATTGCCTCGGTGGGGCCTAAAAATCAGAGGGCACCGAGGCAAAAATTATGGGTGATCATTTTGTTGATTAAAGTTGGTAATACTGGATCATGCATCTCAAAGTTTATAAATAACAATACAATTTATTCTTGCTCTCTACAAAAGTACAGATTTATTGGAAAATTTGTAAATCATGAATGAAAACTAAGTCACAGTAAAATCACATCAAAACAAAAGCACTAAAAATCACAGTTTTAAATCAAATAATGATCACGATTGCATCTGACTCAAATTCCTTTATGACTAGCTCTTATTGACTGGATTAATACTATGAATAATATATCTGTCCTCAGAGAAAGTTGCATTTGAAAATAGCAAAAGTTGCAAAAAGTTGAAAGGAAAATCAACAAAATTTGCAAGAAAAGTTGAAAGACGTGTATAGCTAAAAATGTCATGGAATTATTGGAATACATTGTTGGTATGCTCATTGCAATCAAAGTAACCAACGTGAATTTTGTTTGATCAAAATCAAAAATTAAATGTGTATGTCCACCGTACAAACAAAAAAAAGAAAAAAAAGAAAAAAAAGTCCAACAGCATGGAGGTTGCATGGTGTACAAAAACAGTTTGTCCCTTGACACATACGTCAGGTCCTTAAACTTAAACTCCCGCTGACGTTGGGCGGGTGTGACCAGCGTGGTTTTGTGGCTGTTCAAATACAATATAATAATCTTACACTTACACCTTTTAGGGGATTATTG